ATTTAATTGAATAAAAAGAGTTGGCAGGAAACATGTTATTTGTACTTAAAACACCATTATTGTAATGAATCAATGAAAGAACATATTTGGAAAATATTTTGAAAAGTATATCTGAAGTTAGGAAGGAATAATTAGCTTAAACAATTGAACTTATATATATTTTATTATATGCTAAACTGGGCATATTAGCCCTCTATTTATTGTGTCATACAGCTGCACTTACAGCTACCCTGCAAACTGAACGATTAAAATGAAGAAAAAGAAAGAACGTTAACTTTGGCTGCACTAATAAGCTAATATACCCCTCAGAGGTGCATTTCGTCTAATAACTATATGTTTAACTAAATCCATGGAAGCTATATGCTATAGTAATCCGACGTAAATAATTTCTTCGGAGATTACATTTCTATGAACAATAACTCATACATATAAATTTCGCGAAGATATATCGTCAAATGAGAAAGTTTTGCATACAAGACAGCTATATGTTATAGTGGTCCGATATCGGCAGTTCTGACAAATGAGCAGCATCTTGAAGAGAAAATTACGTTTGCAAAATTTCAAAATGACTTCTTAAAAACTGAGTTACTAGTTCGTATATATACAGACGAAAGGATGAATAGACGGACAGACAGACAGACGAATATGACTAAATCGACTTAGGTCAACATATTGACCGTCTCCGACGCTTCCTTCTGAGTGTTACAAACTTTGTGGCAAACTTAATATACCCTGTTCAGGGTAATCTAGCTTCGATGTAGCTGACGTTAACGTTTTTAAAAGTTTTCTTTAGTTTAGTCAATTAGGCTAAGTAAAACTTGCTAATTTCTTAAATTGGTATTGACATTTTTGTATTTGAAGAACCGTAACTTTCATTAGACTTTGATAAAATTTTCCCAACATAAGTTTGATGCATAACAAAGAGGTGAAGCCAGAGTCAGGAGCTCAAATAGTTGAATTTGAATSTCTGGGGTTTGAAATCTAACCTCGATGTGCAATTACATCTGATACCGGAAAAAGATTTAAATGAATTCCACGACAAGACTACTAGTAGACCAGGGTAGATAATTTACAACAAAA